ATAACTATGCTATTTTTCTTTTCTGGTTAACCTCAAGTTGAAATGAAGGGTTTAAGTTCATTTCTTCTATGGATTGAGACATGCTATTTTTAAGCATGTTTATTCAACAGATAACTTGGTTACAGCACAGTATGTATTTAAATTATCCCTAAATATAGCTTCTAAAATTATGTAAATTGATGCTTTTTTGTTGAGACAGCACAACTTCAAATTCTGATTATTTTATGAGAGCCTAAAAGAATGAGACTTGCCCCAGAGCATATGATCTCTGCTGTTCTTCCAGTATCAATTAAGTCAAGTTCACAACTGCATTTTATTTCTTATAGAAAAGCCTAAGAAATTCAACTTTATGCAGGTAAACTGCCGGACAATCAATACCTAAAATTTCACACCTGAAACTGTATTTGGGTCAACTTTTTTTTTCCAGTTCATTCACACACTGCTAAGCAGTTGTGATGGCCCCTTCAGTTCTACCTCATGGATAGGGTCTGTCTACAGAACAAGTCTTCAGCTGAGTTTGGAAAGGTCTGGTGTTTCAAAGTTCAGCAAAAGTGTGTGTCTGGGGAAACAAGCTGCCACTGTAACTACTTTTATCCTTTTTGTTGATTGTTTTCATTTTTGGTTTGGTTTTGTTGAGTTTTTATATGATTTAATAAAAGGTCAGGTCCACAGAGAGCTACCACAAAGGTTCTGTAGAGCAGGTGGACTATGAAATGCTGGAAATATTTAGACAAACATAACACCACTAAACTGTTTTGCTTTGGGTTTTTTGCTTAAGAATAGTTCAACCTTTATAAAGCATCGTTGTTTCCCATAGAGCAAATGTGGTTTTTACAGCCTTTTCTAACTGTTCAAGTTAAATACCATACTATAATTCCTTCACCATAATAGGAGAATGGTTATTTTCCAAGTAGACTACCATCAGTAAACCCTAATACACTTACAGAGCTAACATTTCATATCTATATGCAAACAAAAAGTATATCCAAATAAAATAAAATTTATTACAAATAAAATTTTTAAGACCATCTTTAATGAGGAGCTTATTTAAGCCCTTTTTCTGCCCTAATTCTTAAGCTACCTCAAGCATAATTTCCTTTTTTTTTATATTGTATGCATTTGGAAAGGTGTGCAAAGATCAAGGATTTCACAGTGAGTCTCTGTGTATCCATTCTGTGATCTGCATCCTCTTTCCTTTCACCCAGTTCTAAGTTACAGTTGATTTGTAAGCCCTTGACTCCAACTGTTGGAATTAGTATAGCTGATGAATTCCTAGCATATGAAGACAGATTTTTTTTTTACTTTTTTTTTTTTTAACTTTTTCTTTAAGCCTGCATTTCAACAGATTAGCACATTTTTTCCACTTCTAGATGCAGACTCCTCCTTAGAGAGAGAGAAAGGAACTTCAAAGAGGGACCACGCACCATCAGTCAGTTTCACCACATGAAACACTGAACTGCTCACTCCTGGGCTGATCCTGTCAATCCAATCCTTTGAGGTCTATTTTATATAAATCTGTTTTCTGTGATAATTCCTAACAACTCTAAATAATGAGAAAAGGAAATTTTCAGCTTCCAAGGAAGACACAAAGCACCTTTTTCTAGTTTAAGGAAGCTCTATGATAAGAAATTTTAGAACTGCCAACATTTTCTGATTTATAGCAGCCTTTCTTATAGATTCTGGGAGAGCAAAAAAGTGCATTTTGCAGTCCTAATATTAATTATGCAGATAAACAACATGGTTGTTACAACATAGTTATTAATATTGTGTATGAGAGACATAAAATGAAATCTTTGAGATCATGTCAAAAATCCTTTCAAAGTGTGTGCCTCACCTGCTACTGCATCTTCTTTTTCCTCTTCCACCAGCTAACAAAGTACTTGAGCAAAAGTTCTCAACTGGGTGAAATTCTTGCCATTTCCTATCAGAAGATATATCACAGTCTTCAACTAAAACTACTAAGCTGGAAAAATCAGTGCTAGAAATAGTATATGCATCTCTACACAAGGTAGCCTGACAGAATCATCACCTAAGTGAGCAATTTTTGATGAGCAGTGGGAAAGAAAGCAAGCTCTTTCAGAAGATATACTCCCATTTCATATTTCACTGTGACAACTCCTGGGGATTATTTTGTCTTTTTATTAGTTTTTTTTTTTGTAGCTGTTCACCCATACACTACACCAGACTCTCACTCCATTAGTTTTATTTAATAGTTTATACTTCATCTACCTTACCTCTCAAAGGAAGACAAATCAAATAAGTACATTGCTACTTTGGCATACCAGAAACTACAAAAAAAGAGGGCTTTGATCAGTTATAAGTAAAATAAAAGAGTTGATATCTCTGTAAAGTTAGTACTGAGTTTACAAGCTCTAAAGCACCTACCACTCAGTCTTGGTTGATGTTCAGCATGCCACACAGCATTACAGTACTACAGCCATACAGTATTTAGCTCTGGTGGATCTAACACTGCTACAAGATGACTTTACAGACCAGGGCATTAATGCAGCACTCAAAGGGATTTTAACAGTAATAAATTGATTTCTCAACTCGATGTTGATCTAGCAGTACTAATGACATCAATAGAGAGAGAGCATCTTCCTATAGGCATTCATAAAGTCAGCAAATGCCTCAGGAAGAATATGGATATCAGTAAGGTTGGTTGAAACTTGTCAATTCATTCAGAGTGGCTTTTCACACACATCTCTCTCCTTATATTCTCATACCCCAATTAAGCCATTCCTAACACACAGATTGAAAGATAAACCTCTCAGGCACTTTATCCTGGGGTCTCAAAACATCTGTTTTCCATTAACTGGCCGTCCTGCAACTACAAACCAAATGCTCTGTGCCCACACCAACTAGGTTACCCGGCTATCACATGCTGTATACTGCACTGCAAATGTGTTTCTACACATACCTTTCAAGAGTTATTAAGGACTCCCAGAAGACCATTGTGTGAAGTATGAACTACAGCTTGTTAGAATAGTTTTCAAGAGATGATGGTTCATAAAGGTATGTCATGGATATGTACTAATTAATACTATTTTTACCAAAAGGTCAAGAGGGACCTTGGCATTCAAAATCTTACTAGATCTCATATTAAAGATCTGACCATTAATGTTTCTATATAATTATGTTTCCCACATATATTTACAGTAAAAATAAATTGGGGTTTTTTTTGGGTAAACTCAAACTGTGACACTATCTTTGGCTATATCAAAAAATGCAACTGGAACAATATGGCCTCTATTCCCAAAAAGCCTTAGCATAATGACTTAGAACTGGAAGGACATCACTAGAAATTAAATATGACAGAGAACAAGAGAGGTCTAGAAGGCAGGATCGGGCAAAATTCAAGAAACCCTCCTAAATATTGGCTGAATTAGATTCATAAAATGACACATTTTTAATCAGCTCCTAGAACATAGCACTGCTAATGAGTCTCAATTATTTTCTTTTACAGTTGCATATACAAAACTAAAAAATACATGCAGTGATCTCTTGTTTTGTGAAATTAAGAAGCTAAGTACCAGAATTTTAACTGTTCTACTTTAATTACTTTAATTTAGAGTATTGTGTATGCGTGTTCTGATAAAAAATAGCATTTTAAACTAAATTATACCAAATATGAATGCTAAGGAAATCAGGTATTTCATCAGAATAACTCACACTATTTAGCCCATCAATAAGGGAGTGATAAGGGTCCCTCCTTCACAATACACTGGTGGTTTGCTGTTCTGAGGTACAGAGTTCATTCTCCAGTGTATTGAAGAACAGGACAGCTGGTACCATTACTATTATTAAACCATTAAAGTGCCAGAACAAAATAGTTCCTGGAAAAAACACAACATTATTTTCTCAAAGTTTATGAAAAGAATGGAAACAAATCTTTTTCTAATTAAAATTCAATAAATTCTAATTCATTGAAATAAAAAACTTACACATGTGCTTTCTTAGAGAAACAGGAGGAATGCAGTGTGTAATATAATACATCTTAATCCCTACATCCTCATAACTAGAAACTATTTGGAACTCCCTCTAAGTTGTGCCAGTAATGGAAAATTCTCAACTCAAATAAACAAAAAAAAGGCAGATAAGTTATTAACTGCCTCAGGTTTTTACAGAAAACATCCTCCAAGTATTTTTTACTTTGTCCAACTGTTCCTCAGCGTTCCACCCCAACACTCAAGATGACAACCACATGTATGAAGAGGCTCTCCTGGTGAAAGAAGGAACTCATGTAGCTCCAATGCAAAAAGGGCTGTATCAGGCATAAGCAGGGACAAGGAGGAATTTAGAAAGACCATATGGGCATGCAAGGATTACATCAGGTTAAACTAAGTTCAGTGGGAGTTACCATTTGCATGGAATGTCAAGGACAACAGGAAAAGCTTCTACTGCTCCAATAGTAAAGGAAGTTTGAACAGGGATGAAAGGTTGAACAGGGAAAACATCTGACTTGGGCAGATCTGACCTAGTGGCAGCAGATATGGATGATGCTTAGGGACTCAATACCACCACTAAGGTATCAAAGAAGGCATCTGTTGTTTAGCTAGAACTATCATTTGGAGAGTAAATGTTTAATACCCCTTACTCCACCTGAGCCACCAACAAGTGGAATAACACAAGGGTTGATCCTGGGACCCATCCTGTTTAACGCCTTTATGAAGAAGGGGAGGCTATTGAACACAGTCCTTCATGAAATTAAGGGCACACATGTAGAATTGTGCACTTGGAAAGGAACAACTCCATGCAACAGTACAATGGAGTTATTTGTATAATGTATAATGGAAAAATTTGTTCAGCTACAAATGCTGAACAAAATTTGAAAGCTTAGTTGTATTTAATTTGCATAGAATAGAGCCCAGATTTTATGTAACAGCACTGAATGCACCTTTTTTCCCATGTCATTCTACATTAAAAGCAGAGGTTTCCATGAAGTGATTACACAATACTTAGCCTACTTCTGGAAAATATTTTAGGCATTTACATTTTACCTTTGTATGCAATAATTGGGTGCTCAGCTCTGTGGCAGTGGGTATCTTCTGTTGTTGTTGACTCCAGTATTCCTAACACCCCAAGTCCTGCCAAGAGCAGTGTGAGGAAGCAGCTTCCTTTCATGGTGGTCATGCTGTCCTCCACAGCAGTCACTTCTTTTAACTGTCTACTCTTCTTGCACTCATGTGGGAAAAGCACCTGGAGAATTCAAAGAAATTTATTTAAGAACAAGAGCAAACCATAGGAAAAAATAGACAATTCTTGGAGTTTAAAACAAAACAACATTGCTTCCTTTTTGTGCAGCATCTGACTACTCAAAATTATGCTGTCAGCTGCTCCTCTAATCACTTCACAAACCTATCATCAGTTACCCAATTTAGGAAAACTGATCACCCAGCAGGATTAAAAAATCAATATTCACTTCCCCCTCTCTTTTATTTTGTAACATGAGGGGAAAAGAATGTTCTCCAACATTTTTTATTTTATCCTCTTAAACAGAGCAAACATATTTAAATCTCTCTTCCCTGTTCACTTAAATCCACTGCTTCTTGCCTTGCTTTCCCCAGAGACAAAGGAGTGCTTTGAATTCTTGAAAGCACAAGGTAGAAGAGGAATTGCTCCCTCATGTGAATGACTACTTTGAGAGAACAACAGCCCTAGAACATGTATTTTTTGCCTATCTGTAGAGTTTGTATGGAACAGCAGAGAAAGGGGTAGGGCAAGATTCACCTCAACGCTCTGACACACACTTTTGTTTTACAGCAGTGAGGGTCACTGCTTCTGACACTGGATTAGTCCCCATTCATTTCCTGACTGATGACAAGGCTGTGAATTGCAGACTCAAATGATGAAGACCCCTTTCTAGGAAAATTTAGATATCAATGAACGATGCAATGGTTTTCATTCTGAATCAGAAAAAAAGTTGAAGTTCAACATCCAATAACCAGACCCTTATATAAGTAATAGAATATGTACAGTGCCACTATAATTTTAGAGCCAACCCAGTTCCTTTCATTTCCTCACTAAAAATGTGCCTACCAGTTACAACCTAATCATACAACCCAAAAGAAACCTTCACCACTAGCAGATTAAGTGAGTCACAGAGCCGTGCGTGCTGATGACATGCAGAAATGAGACATCACTGCCTTTCATGGGGGAAGACCAGAGATTTAAGACAGCTCCATAAAGGCAGAAATGTCACTCTGCTAATTAATGGAGACATTCAGGAAAAGAAAATCAGCAATTTTGAGTTCTAATATGCTTGATCTCACTGAATTGTACTGTGCTGTTTAATAAGGTGGAAACGTTCTGTTTGCGTAAAATAAACATCCTAAATGCATAAAACAAAGGACTGTTAATGAAAAGACACTCCACAATAACAGCAGTGTGCTCTAAAAGCTACATTCAGAAAGCAGAATGGATAGTAAACCCTGGTCCCTAACATGACTAGCACCAGGCTTCATAAGACTAACTGTTCTTCTCTTACCACTTTATTTTGCTGCCTTTAGTAGTCTTCCCGCCTAGACATGGACACTTCTAATCCTCATTCATTTAAATTAAAATAAATAGATCAAAGGCATAATACATCTGAGCAGTAAATTAAATAGTCAATTTTAGCTTCTTTGCTAAAATTTCTTAAGTCAATGCAAAAAAAGGAGAAGCTTTGAGGCAGTTAGATTCATATCCTTACCTTCCTCAGTAGTGTCTTATGATGTCATTTACCAATAAGAATCTGGCCCTACAAATTGCCTATGGCTTACAACAGGCAGTATCTGGTCATAGAAATTCTGGATACTAATGTATGTAGTGCATAAAGCACTTGTTCCAATGTTTTATAGTTCATTTTCTGTAAGATTGATATTTATATGTATGATGCACTATTCTTAGACAAATTCAAGTAGTTTATGTTGGTTGTAGTGCTCCTATTCCTAATTTAAAGATCATACAAATGCACTACTAACAGCTACTTTAATTCAAATTTCTGTAAGATTATGTTTGTGCAAGCAAAATGAAGGCCTGATACCTTCATGAAGGTCTCAAAAATGTTTTTCTTTCTCACAGTACAGCAGCAAATATCCCAAGACCTAGGAATACAGTAATTCCATGTTAAACAAAAAAAAAACCAAAAAAAAAAACCAACAAAACAAAAAAAAAACCAACAAAACTTTATTTCTCTTAATTTTGAAAGTCTCATAAATACTCATGAATGTGTGAATATAGTGGAAAATAATTAAACAAGAATGAGATGAAACATTTGTACTGAAATCTCAGCCTCCTTTATCTCTCTGGCTGCCAATGAAGCCCATGGTCCTTATGTAACCAGGGTTCCATATCCCAGCCAAGTTTCAAAAAAAAACAGCTCTACTCAGCAAACACAGCAAAAAGATAATCCTGTTTCTCCAGGAAGAAAGAAAAGGACCACCACCCTTCATCCAAATATTAAATACACAAATAGTTATGGATGGCTTGGTTTCCATTACAAAAAGGATACTTAATTTCATGGGACTAATAGTGGTATTCATAAGGACTAAGATATAAATTATGTAAATGTCTGATATCTTGTACCTGCAGGCATCAAGAGGACTTCTCCCACCTGTCCCCTGTGAGCAAAACTCAGTAGCAGAAACAAAGATTGCTTCACAACACCACCGCTCCTTGGCCTCTAAATCCAAAAAGCATTTGCTTTCATGACAGACTACTTACACGCCATAGGTGGTCTCTGACACAGTTGTTTGCATGTTATAGTCATGCTGTGGAAGAATTTTGGGGTCAAAGACTTTTTCTTTACTAGCTGAACTCTTCCTCGCACTGCATGTATCTCACATGGCAAAAACTGAGACAGGAAACACTCTCTCATTTAGAATATCCAAAAACAAGGAGAAAGGAGGAGGAAAAAAGAATGGTGTGAATACACTTCTGACCACACATCTCAGAAAAAAAGAGTAACAGCCTAAACTACTCTCTACCTCAACCTCTAGCTGTTTATGTGTATTGCACTATTTTATTAATTTAAGTCTATGAATGATTTTGATGTGTTTTGATTTATTACATTATTGTAGGGAATTGTGAGGAGAAGCTTACTTGCAACAACTTGGAGGAGAATCTTCAGAGGCCCTAACTGACAGAAGAACAGTAAATCAAGGCAGTAGATAAAAACCTTGTCACAAGTTCTTTAAGTTTCTACCCATTTCACTACACCAGTTAATGCATGGAAGGAGAAAGGAGTCTGGAGACTGCACCTAATACACTGTTAGAGTAAAAAATAAAAAATGTATTTTTTAAAGATGCACAAACAAAACAAGGAAAACCAACCAACCAAAACTCTTCCCCCAAGAACCAAAAAACCCATACAACCTCAACCCTCACAAAAAATACAATTAAACCCCCTACAAAGAAACATACACCTTTCAACATACACCCATAGCATGAAGCAATGAACAGACACCTTAGAAAAGACTTCAAAACTCTATCTTTTTCCACAGAATTTGTACAGGCTGGATTGCTCCCTTCTGTACATCCTTGAGCCAGGACCACTGCACCAGCTCCATCGCTGCCCAAGACAGCAGCTGTAAGAGTGAGCCTGTGGAAGCAGCTACACAGACCTGAGACACTGCAACAAGTCAGAAGACTTGAAGCAGACAAAGTAATCTTTCCTGAAATCACGCCCTCTCCTTACTGAAAGTGCAGCTTTCTTGCCAAGAAGGGATAGGTAGCCTGAAGCAATATGGCAAGACAAGACAAAGCCAAGAGAACGCTGAACATGAAAAGAATCAGCCAGTTTCCTTGATTTCTGTATAATTTCCATATGTAAATCTCTCTCAACAATGACAATAATGGTCAGGTCAAAACTCTTCAAAACATATATCCAAATAGTGACAACGACCAGCTTTTTAACTATTGCCAAATATTTGCACATTGACCTGTCATTTGCATAACTTTGCTATCAGAGACCTTTATTCAGACTTTCAATAAATTGCATGTTACAAGTTTGTAAAACAATCTGAAGACGCAAAATAAAAAAGGAAGCAGAAGAAGCAGCACTATAAGATGCAATTTATTTCAATATACTGTTTTATTCCTGTATGTAAAGGGTCTTGTGCACTTATTCTATCCCTCATTCCCTGTCTTTTGATCCAGCTTGCCTAGAAGAAATATAAAGATGAATGAGGCCCATTAGGCAAAGGTATTATATTTTACAAATGTAGCTTTTGGTTTCTCCAACAACAGTAATTGATAAAGAAAAAACCCAGCAAATCAAGATTTTCTGTTTCAGCTGAACCAAAAAAAGAGAAAAAGTGTGCACAGCTAAGCATGCAAGGCAGGTAACTGCTACTGCTAGGTCCAAGCAGATTCATTTAAAGACTATTCCCGACAGGCACTGAAGTCATACATATAAAGTCAAATAATCAGGATGTCAATATTTCTAGATCATTTAAAGTACACTGTGTTGAAAGTACAATTTACCTCTGAATTATAAACTACATTTTCCTTTGTTCAATCAAAATAAGCCACTGTATGCAAAAGCTGCCACACTAGCTGCAGCTGTTCCAAAGCAAGATGGTTTCAAATAACTATCTTTGCTGATTCTGTAAGTGATAGATTTAAGCTACACTTTTAGTAAAAAGATGAAGTGAGTCTATGTCAATATAAGTGTACAAACAGCAAGTTTTGGCATGGTTAAAAGATGCCAGTTTCAGAACAGGTACTGGGTATGGGCATTCACAAGCAGGTCTGGGGTTTCTTTGCATGCACACCAGTGTTTACTCTTGTAGATGCTGCTCATGTAATTTGTTGCAGGAGACTCATTCCACTTTCCCTGGGCACTTTGCTCCACATCTTTGCAAAACAGTAAAGATTTGGAAAAAGAATTTCTCATGTGAAGTAACTACTCCAGATGACCTTTTTGTGCTAGTACAAGCCTGGGGAAAAAGTATTTAACTAATGGAACAAATTGCACATTCTATGGGTTCATGACAACAGAATTATGAGTACAAAGAAAGATGTCGTTCCATTTGCTACTGCACACACTTTAAAATAGTAGTAATTATTTCATCTTTGGTCATGCCAATTTTATGAAAAATACCTAGTTTGTCTACTGTATGGCTAGTGGTACTTTTTTTACAATTTATTAAAAGAAGAGAACACTTGCTTGCTGCTGCAAGTGACAAGAAAACAGGGAGAACTGTTGTTTCCTCTTC